TACACCAAGAACGGATTCTATAAGAAGGTAATTTTTTGTTTTCTTGTTAAACTTGTGCAAAAGCTCCCTCTGATGTTTACATCGTCTACGGATTTGTTGCAAATTACACATGTCTTGCTGATTGTCTGTGGCGACAAAACTACCTTACTAACACAGTCAGCTCTAATTGCGAACGGGACGCCATGAGACGTACAGATGCCCCTGGTGGGGTTTGGGATTGCACAAAGTGGCAGCATATGTGCAGAAACCACAAACAATGGACATATTGCATTGCATATGATTCCTGTACCGGAAGTACAGAATATAAAGATGAGGAAAACAAAATAAAAGTCCAAACTGTCTTACACTGTTATATTTTATCAATATTGCTTTGTATGAAATGAACACGCCAAAAATAGTGTTAAATATATACACATCTTAATTGATGAAATATGACAATATACCACTACGTCTATCTCAAGTCGACATGAGCACCGTTTCTCATAATTACTGTATCAACACATCTTTCCTAAACATAGCGCCCTCTAGTGACGTTAAAGAAAGTTGTTCAAATGAATAAGTTGTGTTTGGTTGTGTAGTTGTATGTCATCCATTCTATTATGATTAGGGCATTCCAGGTTATACATTAATATGTGACACGAATTCACTTTTTCAAACCATTAATATCATATTTAATCGTAACGACTCCACATATTTTATCATATTTTGTGCCGCTACTGCTAATATTTATAATTCTTCATAACCCTAAAATAAAGACAGTGACAACACTCATCACGTCTGTCTGTCTATCTATTTATGTATGGGGGAGGGGAGGGGAGGGTTAGTAAATTTAGGTGAGCAAAATGTTTCTGCGCAAAATCCGGTGCGCACCGATTGAAATAAACGGTTACCAGTTAGCAGCTACTCAATACTCATATTTAAATGTCAGTAACCTCTTTAAAATGCGGTACGGAAATACATGTACTGCCAGATCCACATGAAAACAGATTCTTCTAAATTACAAATGTTTCAAGAGAAGAAAAACACATTATTTTTGCAATAGTACAAGGGAAAAATACCCAGCACCTTACACATTTGGTATACATGTTTCCCGATATATCTCGACGGCCATTTGCACATACGGTATCTTCTGCATAGAATATATCAGTGAAATGGCGTGATCATTTGTGAGTGAAATCATAATAGTTAGATAATTAGTAGACTGTTCGATAAACCGACACCTGTGTACACGCGCATTTATGTTTTTATGCATTATTTCGCTGCGTAACCCCAGTCTACAGGTAAAATAACTCCTGTAATTTCATTAGCAGATGAAGAACACAGAAAGGCTGCAACTTCACCAATCTGAAAAAAAATAAAGATGATAATACTAATATGATTACACCTATCAGGGATATTGAAAATATTTGAAAATATTACAATACTAGAAATTATTAACGAGCATCCGTTGCAAGCTACTCGTGCACATACAATGCTATGAAATGCAAATTAACTATTTACATATATGCAAAAACAGCGGTTTGTGATATCATACCAACCCCACCATTCCATGGTATTGTATATACGCATCAGTTTCATCAACTTTACCTTATTGATGTCCAGTAATTTTCCAGAAGGATTGACAGAAGTTACCAATGAATTCTAATAATACAAAATAATAACCACAATGTTTAAATTCACTGCATAACTTCATTAAACTACAATGGTTCATGAAGTATGTTGTGGATACTGAATACTGAACACAAGAACTAGAATATATTCTTATTGACTTATGTATAAAGCATGTGTACTTGAAGGTGGCTCGATCGGATTGATGGACTAAGATTATGTTATCTTCGTCATACTTATTTTTGTGTTCTGAGACTAGAGGATAATGAAAATGAAAAAAGTCACAATTTTCCTAAATGTCATGACATTTTGAATTGGTTTCTATAGTTAGATTATCTTCATATCTATAATAATATAAGTAACACTGACATAACCATTCATTAATCTAAACTCAATAGTCGTGTAGGAATTCGAACATATAACATTGTAAAAGAAGCCAAGTAATACTATCAATACTAATCCTAATATTGTTAAAACATTTCAGTAACATGCATGTACCATTGAAATTTATTCAAACTGCCTTAATGAAAGGTAACGTACATTTACACAAACAAAATGTGTGATATTAGATAAATAAGTGTTACAGAACCGACTAGTTCTGATGAACTAATTTACATAAACAATAGTTGTATTTATTGATACTATTCACTCGTTATTACATTATTATTCAAGGCATATACTTGGTTGTTAAATATACATACACTACAGATTGAAGTGTAAAATAATATTCTAATTCATTAATCTGACTCGACTTGTTTATCTCACTTGTCGCTATGTATAACAATGGCCTTATTACAAACACTTTAGCAACTATAATTAGCCAATCACCCATAGCATAACGAATTCTATTTTGCTTCACCTTAATTTCTTCAAACGGCATCCCAGTTTTTTCCACCAGACTTCTGATGGAAGATGCCAAAGCTGAAATAAATTAAAAATTGCGTGTGGGTCACAGTTTAACAGAATAAATGTCATCCGTCGCCAACATAAAACAAGGACTGCGGATTAATATGTACGATATATTAGGAGATACGTTTATATAATTGACAAGTTTTGAGTTTCGCCGTTACCTTAAAAATATGTGCGACCTGGTGTTAAAACGTTCAAATATTGTATGCGGGGAGGGGGTGATTTCGCTGCGTAAACGTTCGATAGCTCATCAGAACACCGGGAACCAGGGACAATAACGTTAAATGTGCGCACAATCAACCCTTCATTCTCGCACGGAAACAGGCTGATGGCGCTATTACTCAAAATTCGTCTCTTATTATGATTGGCTGTACATTTTACTTGTGTACAAAAGGGCTCATACCACTAATTGAATTTCCATAGACGACAATGTTAACATATGACGAGATTGCTATATGAACATGATGAACAAAGTTGAAAACATGGCTCAAAAATGGGAAATCAACATGCCAGTATTCAACCACTTGAAAAAACTAACATGTTGGCCAGCTCAAACTCTTGCAAATCTCTAGTAAACAAGACACACCTACTGTATTTGGATTGTACCTAGAGAAATCACTGGAAAAACACCAAGTTTAGAACATCCAAATACACACAGAATAAACTCACAGGTACACAGTCGCTAAGAAGTAAACAAAAGACCACATGTTGGTCCCACCTTTGACCCAGGGGGTCACGCCCTCAAACAGGGAGCACCTGAGAAAAAAAATATTTAAAACATTTCATTGGTTCTTGCAAGGCATTTAAATTGGCTACGAGCAGCCATTGGTTGATTAGTGGCATGAGATCAAAATAATAGTTTTTAACATCCCATAATGCATTTCGTTTGCAGATACGGAAATCCACATCACCCACAACCAAGGTGAATGAGTGTCTATTAATTAAATATATTTGTGTGTGTGTTTCCATTTCGACCTCAAATTCATGTTATGTAATTCAATGTCAACGTACCTTCAGTCATAGCTAAGGCTGGACAAATAGCATTACACGTGATTCCTGTGCCTGATGTTTCGAGTGCAACGGTCTGAAAATAACAAAATAACGTTAAAGAATATCTTGCCCCACTAACTAATGTGTATACATGTTTTGTGGGAATGGCGTCTTTCTCCAGTTTAAATTATTTACGTAGCGTTTTGTATTGTACTTATACCACGAGCATCAGCGTAAAACATCGTTCTGAGTGGATGTCAGTTTTACTCGAATAACTGAAACGGACAGCGTAATTCAAATTGTACGACTCACTGCTGCTGTTGAATTACTACGTTTATTATAAAATAGGTATTTTTTGTACTTATGAACCCACAACAGTTCAACTGTGATAATCAAACTTTCTTCTCAGTATTTAAAAATGATGCATTTCTTGAAAGGCAACATCATAGATTAGAACCAAAGAATTCCAGATTGACGAGATGTGTTGATGCATAGTCACTCTACTAATAAAATGAGCTAACGTTTTCGTGTTGTTCTGCATAGAGATGTATGTTCAATGTGATGAAATAAATAATACATAATCGCTCTGGCAACACCTCGAGCTGATGGTTATAATTTCAACATCGTTGATGCCCCCCAACCATGTATTATTATTTAAATATTTACCTTGGTTAAACCATTCATACCATGTTTACTAGTAACCTGGCCACACATATCAGGCATTGCTTTTATTCCCAAACCAGAACTTATATTTACAACCCTGCCCCAGCCTACAATAAAGACAAGTTACACATGAATATTATATAGTTCTCTTCCTAAGCACGAGCAAAAAATTACTTTTTTTGTTTAAGAATGATCATGACTAATACACTTTTGGGACCAGAATTTCCTGAAACTTTGCTTTTGTTTATGTAATTGTAACTTTTCCATTCCAAAATGGCCACCAACTTATAGGGGGAATCGCAAAGTCATTGTGACCATGGAAATGGGTTCGAATACGATGTATTATTCTTTGTTCTCTCAGTCGCTAGATTTTAGAGATCTCATTGGTCTTTTTCTTTTGTAACAAAACGTGAAACGAAATTATTTGCGTGTTTTATTTTACTTTTACTCGACGTGGGTGTGAATATATTAACATAGGATTTCATTGCTCGTTACCACTAGTACGACCAATGAAACGAAAGCATTTTTGTATCTCACCTTTTCTTTTCATTCCTGGCAGTGATAAATTGGTCAGGTAAAACGCTGATGTCAAATTAACACGTAATGTTTTCTCCCACATTTCAATTCCAGTTTCATCGACAGATTCATTTTGAACAATTCCTGGTAATATAAAAGATGACAGCGAAATATTACGGACCATAAAACAACCCAATCAATTCCACATAAATAATTGTGGTCAATAAATGCGAACATTCCGTAGTTTTCCACCACTTACCAGCATTATTAAAAAGGATATCAATACCATCTGAGTAGATATCTTCAATCATATTATAGAGTCCTTCTACTTCATTCATTTTGTCAAAGTCAGCACGGAAATAATGAACAGGTACCTCGTATTGACTGTAGTCGAGAGATATATAACGTACATCAAGTGAGATATTCAGTCTGAGGACCATATTTTGATTATAGGATCTTAATGATGGCATATGCATTCCCCCAAACACACGATAAATTTGTATTTAGATAATATGTTTCTAGAGCGATACATGCTGCTTTACCCTGCTTAATAATGTTTTACACAATAACTCACTAGTATTGCTACACGACCACCTCAACGGGATTAATATTTCTGGGTATACTAGTGATGTATATACACTAAACAAAGTACATCATTCCAATAAGTGGCGCCCTCTATGCAAAGCACCTCTGTGACGTCGACTTGCCGTGTATGGATAAAGGCAATGTTGTTCAAATCGACAACTCTGATTGGTTGAGTAGACTTCGCTATTCAGAATATAGTCAAACTGAATGTTCATTGTGACGTACACCAAATCACGTCATAGAAGAGCTTCGACGGTAGGGAAACGACATTACATAGGTTATTTATGTAAACTTATCACAAAACGAATACGCCATTTAAACAACATCGTTAAACATTAAATTTGTAAACATTTTTAAAATTATTATGCATCGAAACAACAGTTGAATTTACCTCTGTAGGTCCTCCCGTATATCCTCGACTTTGTCAGCGTCTCTGCTGCCATGTAACACTATACTACATCCACGCTGTGCAAGATTTTTAGCAATTGCCAATCCTATGCCAACTTTATCACTTGAGCCCGTAACCAAGGCAACCTTCTCTTGTATACCAGTGTGTGTTTGTCTTCGAATTTCACAGTTCTGTAAAATAGGAATTCTAGAAATAAGATTACTAACAAACAAAAGTCATATCATTTTATTTTATAATCACGAATTTTGGTTCAAATTGTGACTCATGTTCGCTGTGTTTATTTAATCAATACATTTTATACAATGTGTTTCAGGAATATTCTACCATTTTTTTCCTGTATGGATATGCAACCTTCATTAAGTCGCTTTATTTGGAAACCTACGTGTTATCAGCAAGAAGTTACTTTGATGGTAAACACAAATCAACATTTATGTTACAGCAGCAAGCTACTCTGTTGTCAGTAATCAGTGTTCATGTCATTACATAGATGCTGCAATAATATAAGTTACTCTGTTTTCAGTATATACCAATCAGTTTTCATGTCATTACATAGCTGCTGCAATAAATTACTCTGTTGTCAGTAAATACAAATCAGTGTTCATGTTATTACATAGATGCTGCAATAAGCTACTCTGTTGTCAGTAAATACAAATCATTGCATAGCTGCTGCAATAAGTTACTCTGTTGTCAGTAAATACAAATCATTGCATAGCTGCTGCAATAAGTTACTCTGTTGTCAGTAAATACAAAACAGTATTCATGTCATTACATAGCTGCTGCAACAAGCTACTCTGTTGTAAAAATTCACAAATCCGTATTCATGTCATTACATAGCTGCTGCAACAAGCTACTCTGTTGTCAAAATTCACAAATCCGTATTCATGTCATTACATAGCTGTTGCAACATACTACTCTGTTGCCAGCAAATACAAATCAGTATTCATGTCATTACATAGCTGCTGCAACAAGCTACTCTGTTGTCAAAATTCACAAATCCGTATTCATGTCATTACATAGCTGCTGCAATAAGTTACTCTGTTGTCAGTAAATACAAATCAGTGTTCATGTTATTACATAGCTGCTGCAATAAGTAACTCTGTTGTCAGTAAATACAAATCAGTGTTCATGTCATCACATAGCTGCTGCAATAAGTTACTCTGTTGTCAAAATTCACAAATCCGTATTCATGTCATTACATAGCTGCTGCAACAAGCTACTCTGTTGTCAGAAAACACAAATCAGTATTCATGTCATTACATATCTGCTGCAACAAGCTATT